TAAGGTTAAAACAAGTATGCAACGAATTCGCTACTGCGATGAAGCCCAGTCAGCACAGATTGTAATTTTGTAGGAGGAAAAATATACGCAAAATTATATCGAACGACATGTCAGGAGAAGTCAATCTACAGTTTCCAATACTTTAAAAAGATACCACAAAATAGAAAATTTTTAACAAAGGCCTAGTCAAGGACGCCCAAGTTACACAATCGCAATTGATGACTGTTGTTTGGTGCCTAATTCTACACGAAATTACTCATTGACATTGATATACCTCAGAAATGAGCTACTTAATGGTATACAAGTTAATGAGAGTTCAAAAACAGTTAGACGAAGATTAAAAGAAGCAAACTAAAATCCTAGACGCCCAAAGTTCCATATTTTCTCCAAAATCATAAAGCTCGTCACTTAGAATTTGCAAGAACACATATTCAGTAGAATTTTGGAAACTGAAAAAATGTTTTTTTACTGATGAGACCAGAATCCTATTATGAAAACATAATAGTCAAGAGGAGTTTCGCCACCTGCACTCTCGCCCACACCGTTAGTTTTTGAGGTCGTAGCATATTGCTTTGGGAAGGTAACTATTAGTGGGAGGGACGCAACGCACTTGTGGAAGTGATTGCACGGTGTTTTGCCATATGTTGGTTACATTGGATATGACAGATTCATTTTAATGCACGCTAATGCTTGACTACATATATCTATCTAATTAGCCTTCTTCGGTCCATCTTTGGATATAGGCCTCCCCAATCCTTTTCCATTCTTCTCCGTCTGTCACTACAGTCATCCACCTAGAGCCCACGTGCTTCTTGATGTCATCTGCTCATCTCATTTGGGGCCTTCCTCTGCTTCTTTTATATTCCCACGGTCTCCAACTTATAAGAATTTTGTTCCATCGGTCTTCTTTTTGTCTTATATTGTGTCCAGCAAATGTCCATTTCAATTTTGCAACTTTTTGTCTAATATTCTTCATTTTTTCTCTCTTATCCACTCGTTTCTCTTTTTATCCATTAGTTTTATGTGCAACATTTTTCTTTCCATTGCTCTTTGGTTTTTATGATTTGGTTTATGTTTGCTTTTATAAATGTCCACGTTTGGAAACCCTAAGTCAGAACAGGGAGTACGCATTGATTGTATACTTTGGTCTTAAGATGCTGAGGATATCTTTTGTTTTTAAGAATGTAGCTAAGTTTGCCAAATGCCGCCCATGCCAGTCTAACTCGTCTCTTTATCTCTGCTGTTTGGTTCTATTTGTTAAGTTTTATAGTTTGACTAAGATATGTATATATATATATATATATATATATATATATATATATATATATATATATATATATATATATATATATATATATATATAATCCTGAAATTGTTCTATTTCATCTTGTTCGATTCTCATTGTGATGTCTTCATCTGTATTTGTTATAGTTTTGGTCTTGCTGTAATTCATATTAAGGCCTATCTTTTCAGCTTCTATGTCCAGTTTTTTCATCATTTCAAATACTTCTTCTTTTTTATCAGTTATCAATATAATATCATTAGCGTACCTTAGACGGTTCAAGCTTTGTCCACAAATTTTTATACCTTTTTCTTCCCATTCTAATCTTTTAAAAGTATCTTCAAGAGCCTGATTGAAAAGTTTCAGTGATATTGTATCACCCTGTCTCACGCCTCTATTTATTTGTATTGATTTTATTCCTTCATATACTTTAATTGTTGTTTTGGCTTCCTTACATACATTGGATATTAGTTTCGTATATCTGTGGTCAATTCTGCTGTTAATCAAAGAACTTTTCACTGCCCAATGTTCGACTCTGTCTGAAGTCTTTTCAAAATCTATAAACGCTATATATAGAGGAATGTGGTATTAATTTGCTCGTTCTATAAGTATTTTAATACTTAGTTAATGGTTACTTGTGCTGAATCCCTTCCTTAAACCAGCTTGTTCTTTCGACTGGTATCCATCGAAATTTGTCGTCAATCTATTGGTTAAAATTTTTGTCAGGAGTTTATACATTACATTGGGGAGTGTTATAGGACGGTAGTTTTTTACATCTGCTTTATCCTCTTTCTTGTGTAGGATAATACTTACTGATTCCTTCCAGTTGTTTGGGATTATTTTTTCTTTTAATATCTTGATAAAACGGGGATGTAGAGTATTAATTACCACTTTACCACCATATCTCAGCTTGACCACATACCGCTATTATAATAATTAACTATTTTGATTAGGTCCACATTTGAAAATTGGTTTAGCTACCCTTTAGCTACCCTTTGTCGTATGTACCCCATACGACACAGACATCCTGTTATAAATACGATAGAGCAGCTTCGGCTTTTTGCACAGGATTAAAAAAATGCAATTTCCTAAGGATATGTTCAAAAGTTGACTTGCAGCATGCCGAAAAGGATGCAGGCAGTAATAAGAGCTAGAGGAGGAAATACTAATTACTAATCATACACTTGTTTCAGTTAAAACAACTTGTTTAAGAAATTTAAATTGACATTAAAGTTTAGAGTAAAATAATCTTATTTACCTAACATTAAACATTATTTTTTCGTAATTTTCTCCGCATAAAAACTTAAAATTCTTCATTAAACATTGTTAAATGAACTTTTCTTCACAATAAATGACTGGATTGACCAGAATTTATTTTCAAAAAATAAAAATTTTAAAATTCCAAAATATTCGATATTTTGTCCATGAGTGTACCTACAAACTGTTAGGATTTCACCAATTAAATGACATCAAAATAATAATAATATTTAATAATAAAAAAATAAGAAAATAAGAATAAGTAATTTAATATGCGCAGTGTCAATTCCGAATGCTATAAAATAATTGTTCAAACTAGTGTCCTAACTTAATCTTACAGGTACAAGGAAACAAATTTATAACAAAAAACCAAAAGGGTATTATCGATAACATCTATTTTTTTCGTAACTATTGTTAACAGTTACCTTGCTCCTTTGTTTCTTTTTAACGCACATGTTAAATGTCACAATATTATTTTCCTTAAACCATAAAAAAGCTTTATTATTTCTACAACCTTGAATTACCTATACAATAAAGTCCGATGTAAATTGAACAAAAAAATAATTTAATTAAAAATATTCAGAGAGCAATCAATAATTACTTTCAGAAAGTTTTAAAATATCTGTCAACGCACAATTTGTGCATGGGTACGCACGTTCCCATTGCGACAGTTCCGCAAACAATTTTGTTAACGAAATAAAGCAATTAGAGATTTAACTTTGTGATTAATTACAGGTGAGTTTGAGGTAATTTTAATTGCTGCATTTAAAACGTGATTAATGTTTGTCTTGAATACGATATAATCAGCATTATATATGTTAGATTGGTAATTATTTTGTCATCTAGAACATTAAAAAAATGCACTATACCACTTTGCTCCACATTTACGAAAGTCTTTGCTATTTAAAAAATTGAACGGAGTGTACACCTTTAAACAATATTTTTGGTAAAATAACAAGAATACAAAATAGGATGTGTACATTTTTTCCACTGTAGAAAATAAAAACTTAATTAATAAACGAAAGTAAGATCGATAAAAATATCTTACTTTTGTGTATCATGGATATGCTTTTTGATATTATTAAAATAAATCAAAATTAATAGTTATAAAAAAAATATTTTAAAATAATTGTTTCAATTAATTTTTGTATTACCTACCTACCTGTTTACCTTCTATTGTCTATTCGCTTAGCTAGGTCATATTTTGACAGACTCATTGTCGGAAACCTACAACACAACAATTCCGACTTCTCAGTATTAATAGCTCAAGTGTATTACTATTGCAGACTTCTTTCTTTGAAAAAAAGAAGAATTATTCTAAATAGTGAAAGTGTATACTAAACCCATCAAATTTTCCCTGTATATTTAAAATATAATATTTGAATTGTTACAATTTAAAATATTGTAGTAAATATTTGTATTATTCGCGTTGTTTATTTAATTTAATATAGTTTTATTGTTTTATTATCTTTGTTTAATTCTTTTGTTAGTTCTATTTAGTTAATTAGTTAGTTATATTTTAAATTTTATTATTATGGATAGTCAAAGTTTTCAATTTGTTCCATCAGCTAATGTGTTGGTAAGTTTTTCTTGATAAACATGATAAAATGTTTTTTAAAAGTTAATATTTTTAGATTAGTTGTTTCTAATTTAATATAAACTTGTTTATACCTACATGGAGGTTCTTGTTGTTTGTTTGGGTTTATATGACTGCAGACTGCGGCCAGGACACTGAATTCATTAACCATATGTGGAAGATTTTAACATCCTCAAATGCTAATTAGCAAAAATCACTATTGAACCACGAATTTGCCTAGTCAAATGACTAGTATTTCCTTTTAGCATATGGAAGTACACTTATTTTGTAAGATAATAAAACAACAGTTTATGTTAATGCTATCCAAAGAACTGTTAATCTTTAATCATTGATTCCATCCTAGTCACAACATAAGGAACTTGCTGTGTCTTATTTAACCTCACTTTGACTTTTTAATTTTGTAGAATTTATTCCCACTTTTTTTATTTTGTACAATAAATAATTTTATTATTTGTTATCAATACATTATACGGTGTAAATAAATATTGATTGTCGGCAAAGTTCTATTTATTTACTTTTGTTTACATTAATATTGACTAAGAGCACGTATGCTTGGTTGTATAGTAATTTCCAGCCACTTCGAGTCTATTAAAAAGTAACTAACTTCGCAAAAAAATAATTACTAAAATCACTAGACAGTTCGGACTGGGAATAGCGAACCGGGTATACCTGTCTACCTGTTATAAACATGTCATGTTATCTTTAATGGCAATGACGGTTCATTCTCTTTAATTCTTGACTAAACTAGAAAGGTGGCGCCACCAAAAACTTTCTTCAAATGCGCATGTCATCGCATCTGTAGAAATCGCAACATTCCCCAACAACAACAACAAAGCCATTTTATTTTGTCTATGACACCGCAGTGTTTGTTTACGTGCTTGGATTTTTATCATTTTTATATTATTGGATTGTGTTTTTTTACTCACAAATTAGCTTTATAGCAAAGACTTTTACGACTTTTACTTTAAAGTAAAAATTCAGAACTTAAAAATGGTTTTTAAATGTTGTGTACCGGGCTGCAAAAATTACCAAAAAGATGCTCAAATGCATATTTTTCCGAAAAATCAAGAGGTAAGTGATAATTAATAATTATTTTAATATTAAAATGAAAAATAGCTTTTATTTTGATTTGCCATTAATATTTTAATAACGAATAACCAACAAGATATTCCTAAGTATGTATCTCTAACCTTAAAATGTTTTAATCTAGCTTGTGTTAGAATAAATTTAAAAATATCCAGAAACTGAAAGTATTTACAGATGATACAACAAAAAAAGGAAAGAAGTAATAGATAATATTATTTACATGGCTATTATTGTTATGCACTTTAAATATATTTTTTATACTATGTCTATTAGACACTAATTCTTATGTTTTTTGTAGCTGTATAATGTTTGGATAAAAAGGATTGGCCATCCCAATTTACAAGAAATGCCAATGGAGAAGGTCCGAAAATCATACCGTGTATGTAATGTCCATTTTGGGCCAGATGCACAATACATTGGACTAATAAATAAATCCACCATTAAAAAAGATGCTATTCCATCTTTATTTTTACCACCAAGTAAGTATGTTTAACAGATTTATATATACAGTGTGTCTGCGTAACTTGGAACCACCTGGGAAACTTTTTTATTATCGAATTTACGAAAAAAAAAATATATTAAATTAGAATATAGATATAATTTTTATATCTATATAGAACTAGACATAATTTTTAATTCTTCGAAACAATTTTTCCTAATAACAATTTTCGATATTGTGAAATATAAAGATACTTTACTCTTGAGTGAAATTCATATTTTTTGACATACCTCGTATACTGTTAATAAAATTTGATATCTGATGATTGCATCTTAGATTTTAGACTATGCAGAGCAGTTTATGAAAAATAACTTTTTTAGTAAAATGGATACTAAAAAAGTTTTCCATATGGTTCCAAGTTACGCAGGCACACTGTATATGCAGCATTTTTAATTTTAAGTTATTACTGGTCACTATGTACCAATTGTTTTACAGCTAATTTGTCAACAAATGCAGGAGAAGATTTTCTGAGAATAAATATGGAAATAGAAGAATCTGCTGAGGTAGATTTGCCCATAGAAAATATGGAAGTAGAAGAATCTATTGAGGTAGAGGGAAAATTGCAGAATGTGACACCACTTCCTTCTACATCTAGTGCTGCTAATGTATTAAGTAAGTAAGCTTTGCAAATGGATGTATATTGAAAATAGGATAAGTGACATTTTTTGCAAAAATGGATTGATGGTACCATTGAGAATTTTAACAGGAAAAAAGTAAAATAATATCTTTCCTTCTTACTTTTTCAAAATGTTCCCTATTTTTTTTTATAAAAAAATTCAAGGTTAGTTAGAACTTTGCAAATTTTTTATGAAAAAAGGGACAAACAGTTAAAAAAAAGACTTGCCACAATGAACACGATATTTTTTTTTTCCTTTAGTAAATGTCAGAAATAATGGCAAAAGTGCATATTATGATGACTGCAAATATGAGTGTTTTTAACAAATCACACATTCTCCTTAGCCATTGATATCTTAAAAATAAATAATTGGTACAGAAAATTTGAATTAAATAAAAATTTAAAAAAATGTATTTATTAACATTCTTATTAATTGTAGGTTTAAATAAGCGAATAAACTTATTGGCCTACACACAAGTCGGAAGGACATCAGAACTTACCCCCAAAGCAAAAAAGCTGTACAGAATAACGTCTAGTTTGAGAAAATCAGCTAAACGATTAAATTTTAAGTGTTTAGATCTAAGAGAAAAGGTAAAAAAATGGAAAACATTACCTATTCTACAGATTATTTAAAATCAACTTTAAACAAACCAACCTATGATTTTGTGATGTCCCAAATTAGATGCCAAGATAAGCAACCTAAGGGAAGGAGATATTCTCTTGACGAGAAAATCCTTTTTTTATCTTTCTTGAAGCAAAGCCCAAAGGGTTATAAGTTATTTAAAAAATTATTTGCAGCTCCTTCAAGAAAGACCCTAACAAATATGTTAAGGAAAATATCTTTTAATACTGGCATAAATCCAGTTATTATGGAATCATTATCGCACAAGGTAAAGTCTATGTCTGAGAGTGATAAGAGGTGTAGCATCATTTTTGATGAAATGTCTTTGGATCCTACACTTTAATATAATAAATGGAAAGATTTTGTAGAGGGATTTCAAGACAATGGGGAACATACTAGAAGGCCTGTAATTGTTGACAAAGTTATGGTTTTCATGGCAAGGGGTATATGCAAAAAATGGAAACAACCTCTGGCATATTACTTTAATGAATCTGGCATGAGTAAAGAAATTCTTGTGAGAGTCATTAAAGAAATTGTGCTAGCTTGTCAACAAGTAGGCCTTTTAGTAAAAACCATTATTTGCGACCAAGGGTCATCAAATGTAGATAAAGAGGCTATATGCGGAAACCAATGAATATTTTATTAGAAAAGGAGAAGAATAGTCTCTTTGGTGTTCTTATTGGTGGTAAAGAGGTAGTTCCTTTATATGATCCTCCACATTTATTAAAAGGTGTGAGAAATAATTTCTTTAAATATAATTTAAAATTCAAATGGAGAAAGCCACATTATGAAGTTGCTAAATGGGATCATATAAAGAAACTCTTTGAAATTGAGGGCACTGAAGATGACGATTATAAATTGTGTAAAAATCTAACGGTTTCCCATATAGACAACACTAAAAAGATGAAGGGGTCTGTTGCTGCCCAAACTTTTAGCAACAATGTAGCAGCAGTCATAAGGAGAATCAGTCTTTAAAAATAATTTTATTGTATATATATATATATATATATATATATATATATATATATATATATATATATATATATATATATACATATATGTATTTCATGTATATATTCTAGTTTTAGTTTAATTACGTTCTTACAATAATTTTGTTACTTGTAAATTGTGTCGTTAATTTTTTAAATAAATATTTTAATATTTGAATTTTGTTTTTCTTCCTTTCCTTTCCTATTATGTGCAGTCTGTTTAGAATTGCAATAAAAGATTTCACAATATAATGCAAATTACAGAAAATAATTGCTAATGTTAATGTAAGAAACAATTATTATTTTTTATAATTTGCATTATGTTGTAGAATCTTGTTTTACTACAATAATTAGCACCAATGATTATTCGAACGTTTAAAATTCCCGCCGCGTCATTTCCCATTTAGTTCATGACTAAACCAGACAGAGGGCGCTGTATACATTGCAATTTTAGGTATTAAAGAGCTTTCTATCTCTACTTATATATACTTAATCTATGGTTACAAATGTCGTACAAATATGTTTAACGAAAAAGTCTCCCACCCCTTGTAGCTATGAGGTTTATGTTAGAGTGCGCGCAAGCACTCTTGACCACGGCGCAGTAGATAAAATTTGGTTTAGTCACCACTTCCGTGTGAAACGCATTGTACTATGCACTGTATAATTCCATTTACAATAGAACCTTTCTGCCTTTACGTGAATTTGACTCCGCCTTCGCGCAGCTCCATATTCAAGAGTGCTTGCGCGCACTATACCTATGACTTACCTCTAAAGAATTAGATAAATGCTGTTAGTTTCTAAAGTTGTCCTAATAAAAGTGGCAGAATGCGGTCAAAAAATGTCTTGTGCTATTTATGTAACATTTCAGAAAATTTGCAAAACCAACTGAAAAAAATCGTTTTTTTGCATGGTATTTGCATGTTTGGTGGACTTCAAAAAGGCATTCGATAAAGTGCAGCATGTAAAATTAATGCAAATACTGAAAAATATAGGAATAGATGAGAAGGATATTCGTGTCATTAAAAATTTCTACTGGAATTAAACTGCTATCGTAAAAATTCGAGATAACTACACCGATGAAATCCCCATACAACGAGGAGTCAGACAAGGTTTCATTTTATTGCCTACATTGTTCAATGTTTACTCGGACCAGCTATTTAAAAAGGCACTTAAGAGACAACCATATGGAATAAAAATCAACGGGGAACTACTTAATGTGATTAGATATGCAGACGATACAGTAATTCTATCAGATAATATTAAAGGTCTTTAAATTCTGCTTGATCGTATTCACGAGGTAGAAGAGAAAATAGGCATTGAAATAAACTCAAACAAAATCAAATTTTTAGTGTTTAGTCGTGACCCAAATATCGATGCAAAGCTTCAATTGAACGGAATCCAAGTTGAGAAAGTTCACAAAATGACATATTTGAGAACTGTGATAACGGACCAACTAGATCCAGACAGAAATAAAACGTAGAATAGCAATAACTATCTTAATTTAAAACTAAGACAAAGAATGGTTAAGTGTTATGTTTGGTCTGTACTTTTGTATAGTGCAGAAGTGTGGACGCTAAAATTATCGATCATGAACAAAATTGAAGCATTGGCAATGTGGGTTCGTTCATAAACGAATGCTAAAGATACCTTGGACAGTAAGAAAAACTAATGAAGAAGTACTAAGGAGCGTCAAGAAAGACAGGGAACTGCAAAAGACTATTAAACATCGAAAAATGTCTTATCTGGGACATATAGTAAGGGGAAGTCGATATAAAATTTTACAACTGATCCTTAAAGGCAAAATAGAGGGCCGTAGAGGTGTAGGAAAAAAACAAGTTTCTTGGTTAAAAAACATTCGAAAATGGACTCAGATACCAAATGCAGGACAATTATTCCCTATTGCAGAAGATCGAGAAGCCTTCGCAATGGTGATCGCCAACTTCGGATAGTTCTGACATGGCACGCAAAGAAGAAGAATCACTTGGTATTCAAATTCTTGGTATAGTAAAGACGTTTTGTCCTGGAATTAAGGGTTTGTGTAAACCAGTTTATGTCTCTAGGTAAAAATTTTTATTTTGACGGTGAGTTTCATTTGGTTTCACGTTTTTTGTAAAATTATAGACATAAAAATGTGTATTTCTAATTGTGAATAATTATTGTGCTTTGAAAATACCGAAAATAAGCAATGTTTCAATTTGGATAAAACCTTATAGGAACAATCTATGGATATGGATAAAACTTTTGCTTATGTTGTGGCAAAACCGTAAGTGCATACGTACTATTTTTTATTTTATTTTAAAAATTTACACCGTGGTACAAACAAAGATTTTAAAATTGGATGTTATGTTTAAAAAAAGTACCGACACAAAGCTAGTTCCCAATAAATTGATGTATTTTTTAGTTTTTTCAAGCATTTTTTAAACTCCTTGCGATAAAAAATGGGATACCTATTTAAATTTCAGATCATTCAATAGTCTACTGAAAGGTCGCTAACATTTTTATTCTAACAATAGTAGTATTTGCTTTAATTTTGCTAAACATAAAAACATAATACATATTAGACTTAATTAAATAAGAGTATTTTTTCTTTAAATGTAAACAGAAAAGACCAAGAGCCTCTTGTAAATATTTGAGGGTTCTTCCTTTTTGCACAGTTATTTCTTAACATTTTCAACATTACTACACCGATTTTTCTTTCACTTAATTTAAATATTCTAATTGATATGCAAAAAGAGTTAATTTTTAGTTTACTTTCAAAATCTTAGATTTTAAAAATGGGTAGAACTATAGAATATTTATATTCTTTATTAGATTTCATCTAAAAAAATTTCAAATAGATCAGCATGTCAGAACCGCCACACATTTAGCTAAAAATATAAATACCACATTCGGTGAAAAATATCAACCTTCAATTTTCAAGTGCTTTCAGTAAAATTCCAAAAAACAAACCAAACAATAAACTTAAAAGACCGGCCCTGGCAAGGTATGGCTAAGTTGTACTGATATCGTACTCCTAGTTTTTAATAAAAACAAGTGGTTTTATTAAATAGTTTTTTAAAATTAGATACTACTACGTAAGCTATCTATACGTAAAAATTATTTTATTAGTGTGAAAAGAAAACGTCAATAATAAATATATACTACCGTACAATCATTTTGTGAGGTTAGCTGTTATAAGTACCTTATAGTAGCATGCTGTTAGTTTTTTACTTACCAGCGTCGGAGTAAGGCCTTTGCCGCCACAGCTTAAAATAACTTCACAGAATGTAAACACACCTTCCGATCTAACCAGTCCAGTAAATCAACGTTCGAATATCACAAACAGTTATGCATTAGCCGCTTCACACTCTTTTCCGAGTAAGTGTACACCTACATTGGAACCGTATTTCTCCCGATCCGATATCTGGCGACGTCGCCGACGTCGGATTAAAACCAAACTCAAAGTATTAAATCAGAGTGCCTATACTGCTTCGTCACGGAAGCAGTATAGGCACTATGATTTAATACCTTGAGTTTGTTTTCAATCCGACGTCGGCCGACGTCGCCCGATATCGGATCGGGAGAAAAACGGTTCCAATGTAGGTGTCCACTAAGACCCAAGCAATTGTATTTAGTTGCATCGATAATGCTAAACTGCAGGATTGCCTCATTCCTTTGGGCACAATCATTAATCCAAAAAATATTATTTTTTCATCTAGATTATCTAATAATAGAGTCTGCATGTATTTGGCAAACAAAACCGTAGTAGATAACTTTATGACACAACATGGCTCTATAGAAGTACTCGGCGAAGTTGTAACAGCATGAAGACTTGTCCCTCCAGCAGAAAGACTAGTCTTGTCTGGAGTCTGCCCGTTAATTCCTTATCAAGTATTAGTTGAAGAATTACAGAATATCGGTTTAAAGCTTATTTCTCCAATATCATTTCTGAAAATCAGCTCGACTCACCCCGAATATAGTCACATATTGAGCTTTCGGAGGCAAGTTTATATAAGCCCTATAACATCACCAATTCCAGATTCTATTCTAATAAATTTCGATCAAGCACATTACCGCATATTTTGGTCACAAGGTACACTTACCTGCTTTATTTGCAAAAATACAGGACACATATTATCCCAATGCCATAACAGGTCAGTAACGGAATCAACTCATATTGAGCCAAACAATGAAGTACCAAATCAAACAGCTTCAACAAGTATACTACACAAGGTACCAAACACCCAGCAGTCATCAAGTTATCAAATTCCAGACTCAGTAATTTCATCAGAAAATCTGTTTGCAAAACCCAAACCCTCTAAACCAAAAAAAAACGCGCTCATCTAAAGTCCCATCTACACGGGAAACTCTTGAATATTTCATTGATAATCATACCCCACCATTCGTTTTAAATTACCACCAATTGTCCTTACTGTTTGATAATGTCCAAGGCTCCTCTGACACTATAAGCGTCGTCAAAGAATTTACAACTGATATTTATGGTTTACTTTATCTTTTACAAAGCAGCTATCAATATGCAAATGATAAATCTACAAAAAGCAAGTTTACAAAACTTTAAAAGAAACTACACAACCATTTAGAGAAAGAGATTTCTGACTTAGATAGTGACTCTTCTGTAGACAATTGTTCAGTATCATCTAACTCCGAATCTGTTAACAACATTCAACTCGATCCTTCAATGAAACATTGATGGATTTTTTCATTGTCTCCCTATGCTACAGCTTCTTTTATCTTAATATTCTCCAGATATTATTATTTCTTATGAACATGGAAAAAGCGTCCAATTTTTATGGGCTCCCTCACACGTCGGAATAACGGGAAATGAAGAAGCTGACAGGACTGCACGGGAGGCAATTTTAAGTGATTTTTCACAGCCGATAGACAAGTGTTTTTCCAGTGACTTAGAAGCTCATTTTAAAAATAAAGTGTGGTGTTTGTGGCAAAATGAGTGGTCTCAAACTAATTCCAATCTAAATAAAATCAAAAATAATGTGTCTCAGTGGTTTCCATTGTCGCTCAATACACTAGAACAAATTACGGTTGCGCGTTTACGCCTAGGACATACCAGATTAACGTACTCCTACCTTTTTACAAAGAAAAATCCACCTATATGTGATCAGTGTAACGTCCGATTAACAGTCGAACATTTTTTAACAAGTTTTAGTAAATATGACCAAGAAAGACAGCGCTACAAGATCCCAAACGCTCTACTACAGGCTCTAGGTCAAAACTGTTCCTGTAACAATATAGTGAATTATCTTAGATCCATAAACATTTTGTACAATCTGTAGGTGTTTAACTTTGTTTTTTATATTTTGTTCCGTCGCTACTAACCTTTTGGTGGATGCGACATCTTTTTCTAATAAAAAAAAATAAACTTTTAACGAAGACTTATATTGTGCATTAGTATCTTCTAATATACCGCTTTTAAAATTATCTAATGAAAACTATAGAAAACTGTAGTTTAGAAAACTATTTTTTTTTATAAAAATATTGCAAACAAAACATTCCCAGTGAACGAACTCTAAAGAGAAATAATGTCAATTTGTTATATTCCTCAGTTATCCACAACATAAAATCCGAAATAGGTATCTAATAATTACTTTTACATACGTGTGGATCAGACCACTGACTTGTCAGGAAGATACATTGTGCACTTATTGATTGGTGTACTTAGCGATGAAACCTTTCCAAAATCGTATTTAATTTCCTGTAAGAAAGTGTAAAAAACCAACGCTCTAACAATATCACGGTTTCAACAAGAAGCATTAATGAACTTTTTTTCTTCCGGCTGCTGTACCTAGTAATAAATTATTGCTTATTTTATCTGATGCCCTACCATATATGGTAAAACCAGGAAAAAATTTTAAAATATTTTATCCAAACTTAATACATGTCACTTTTTTAGCGCATGGAATAAACAGAGTCGCGGAGAAAGTAAGAAAAAAATTTTCACTAGTTAACAGTTTAATAGCGAGTATCAAAAAGGTATTCCAAAAATCACCTGTAAGAATACAATGTTACAGAGATATGCTTCCTGCTGTTCCACTGCCATCGCAACCGATGTTAACATGTTGGGAAACATGGTTGGAAGCAGCTATTTCTATGCTGATCATTTTGTTGATTTAAAAAAAAATAATTAACCTTTTAACGGATAATAGTTGCCAATCTTTATTGGAAGCTAAAAAAGCTTTCCAAAATAATATCCTTCAACGGCCGCTGTCATTCATACAATCAAATTATAGTTTTGTCCAGAAAACTGTAACTCAATTAGAATCTTCCAAATTATCATTGTAAGAGAGTACATACAAATTTAATAAAAGAATTTGCGTTATTGTTTCATAACGTTAAAGGTACTATTGGAAAGGAAATTTTCCTTTGAAAAAAATAGTGGTTACCAGGTTCTTTCTGAAGTGGTTCAAGTACTAGCTCAAACATTTTTCGACCCACTTAATTTAAAACCATCCATTATAGAAAATT